TGGTGGTTGGGTGAGTAACAACCTAACATTCAGGTTGTAAATGTTTGTAACATACATATTGGTGGTTGGGTGAGTAACAACCTAACATTCAGGTTGTAAATGTTTGTAACGTACATATTGGGGGGTTTGGGTGAGTAACAACCTAACATTCAGGGTGTAAATGTTTGTAACATACATATTGGGGGTTGGGTGATTAACAACCTAACATTCAGGTTGTAAATGTTTGTAACGTACATATTGGGTTTGGGTGAGTAATAACCTAACATTCAGGTTGTAAATGTTTGTAACATACATATTGGGTTTGGGTGAGTAATAACCTAACATTCAGGGTGTAAGTGTTTGTAACATACATATTGGGTTTGGGTGAGTAACAACCTAACATTCAGGTTGTAAATGTTTGTAACATACATATTGGGTTTGGGTGAGTAACAACTTAACATTCAGGTTGTAAATGTTTGTAACATACATATTGGGTTTGGGTGAGTTACAACTTAACATTCAGTTTGTAAATGTTTGTAACATACATATTGGGGGTTGGGTGAGTAACAACCTAACATTCAGTTTGTAAATGTTTGTAACATACATATTAGGGATTGGGTGAGTAAAAAAATCCTTCGGTTCTTAAAAAGTGCCCACAGATGATAATCGTGAGATTATTATGAAGAGTTCTCTGTGAATGAAATAAATAGATGTTCAGTTAACATCTATTTATTTCATTCACAGAGAACTCTTCATCAGTTAACACTATTCTTCATCAGTTAAAATATATCTATTTAATTCACAGAGAACTCTTCATCAGTTAACATCTATTTATTTCATTCACAGAGAACTCTTCATCAGTTAACATATATTTATTTCATTCACAGAGAACTCTCCATCAGTTAACATATATTTATTTCCTTCACAGAGAACTCTCCATCAGTTAACAGTCCAATACTGCTACACGTACAGTTATGTCACAGGTTATAAAACAATGCATAACTTTTCAGTGTTATATATGGAAACTGGAAACCTCTATCAGCAGAGAATTTTAGGACAGAAACTCCGAAATCACATTCCAAGTCAATTAAGAGCAAAGTTATGGAAGAGAACCTTCCGACTAAAAAGAACTTTGGCAAAGTTGGACAATTTCCTAACATAGTTGAAACTGACGAAGACGATGGTTTATAAACTTCCAGCCAATCCTAATAGTCAACGGTTGCTTTAATTAATTAGAACAACAAATATATTGGAATCAGAAAAATTCCATTCGGCCACAAACCTTTCATGTCGTCCAGAGTAGCTCCAATGGGCTTTTGTGGCTTTGGTCTTTTTAAGCGTGGAAGAGGATGTGTGGAATGTTTATCAATAAGACTGTTACAATGAAAACTGAAATACTATGTAACAATGCATAATCATAGCTTCCAGACTGATGAAGGAAGGGATGCTCGGGATAGCACGAGAACACGAACGTCGTTCATATGACTTGTTTAGAGAAAGGGTAAAGATGAGTCGATGGAACATGTTAATACTAAATAATTGTTTCTTCGAAACTTCTATCGTTAAAACGTACGATACTGAAGTTAGACATTGTTATTTAAAACTTATACTGGATGATAAATCTGGTCTAACTCGTGTTGTTAGTTTAAAAACTTGTGTTTGATATTCGTATTAAACATTTTTACTTAAGGCTTGTACTGGATGCTAAATCTGGTCTAACACGTGTTGTTAGTTTAAAAACTTGTGTTTGATATTCGTATTAACCATTGTTACTTAAAGCTTATACTGGATAATAGATCTGGTATAACACGTGTTGTTAGTTTAAAACTTGTGTTTGATATTGGTGTTACACATTGTTACTTAAGGCTTATACTGAATGCTAAATCTGGTTTAACACGTGTTGTTAGTTTAAAAACTTGTGTTTGATATTCGTATTAACCATTGTTACTTAAAGCTTATACTGGATAATAGATCTGGTATAACACGTGTTGTTAGTTTAAAACTTGTGTTTGATATTGGTGTTACACATTGTTACTTAAGGCTTATACTGGATGCTAAATCTGGTATAACACGTATTGTTAGATTACAAACGTTTGTTTAATATTGGTGTTAAATATTGTTACTTAAGGCTTATACTGGATGCTAAGTCTGGTCTAACACGTGTTGTTAGTTTAAAAAACTTGTGTTTGATATTGGTGTTAAACATTGTTACTTATGGCTTATATTGGATGATAGATCTGGTATAACACGTGTTGTTAGTTTAAAAACTTGTGTTTGATATTGGTGTTAAACATTGTTACTTAAGGCTTATACTGGATGTTAAATCTGGTATAACACATGTTGTTAGTTTAAAAGTTTGTGTTTGATATTGCTGTTAAACATTGTTATTTAAGGCTTATACTTGATGGTACTGCAGTATAACACGTGTTGTTAGTTTAAAAACTTGTGTTTGATATTGCTGTTAAACATTGTTATTTAAGGCTTATACTGGATGGTACTGCAGTGTAACACGTGTTGTTAGTTTAAAAACTTGTGTTTGATATTGCTGTTGAACATTGTTATTTAAGGCTTATACTGGATGTTAAATCTGGTATAACACGTGTTGTTAATTTAAAAACTTGTGTTTGATATTGGTGTTAAACATTGTTATTTAAGGCTTATACTGTATGGTACTGCAGTATAACACGTGTTGTTAGTTTAAAAACTTGTTTTTGATATTGGTGTTAAACATTGTTATTTAAGGCTTATACTGGATGATACTGCAGTATAACACGTGTGTTAGTTTAAAAACTTGTGTTTGATATTGGTGTTAAACATTGTTATTTAAGGCTTATACTGGATGGTAACTGCAGTATAACACGTGTTTTTAAATTGAAAATTACGTTACATCCGACTTGTGAGACACCGTATTATATAAACAATACATCATACCTGTCAACTCTTTAACACCGTATTTATATAAACAACACATGGAACCTATCAGCACTTTAACACCGTATTATATAAACAACACATTATACCTGCCATCACTTTACTGGACCTTAATAATATACCTGCCATCATTTTACTGGACCTTAATAATCTACCTGTCATCACTTTACTGGACCTTAATAATATACCTGCCATCATTTTACTGGACCTTAATAATATACCTGCCATCACTTTACTGGACCTTAATAATATACCTGCCATCATTTTACTGGACCTTAATAATATACCTGTCATCACTTTACTGGACCTTAATAATATACCTGTCATCACTTTACTGGACCTTAATAATATACCTGCCATCACTTTACTGGACCTTAATAATCTATTATACCTTTACATTATACCCCTCAGAACGTTGAATTAGTAAGATGAATTTGTTTCTGTTGATTTGCTCTTTAAATAACAAAGGAAAATTATATATATATATCTATCTCACTTGAACGTTTTATTACCTGTTTTTGTCACCTACCTTTCTGACATTCTGAAGACTGTGAACACTGTGAAGACAGGGTAACAGTCAGAAACTTTATTTTTTTAAATTTGTTATATGTTGGACGTTGAGAAAACAATTTAAAAACACAAATGAGAAAGAACGACAAGTGTATGGAAGAAGAAATATGCCAGTGACGTGGATATCTTTAGAAAATAGCACGAGACACTCGTGAACACACCTCTTTAGCTACGTCATTCCCACGAAGCTATGGGAGATTTACGTGTAAAGCTTCAAGTTTTGTAACACCTGGTTGTGGAGTCGTGAGTCGTGGTTGCAGGAGTAAAGCGGGTTCGATAGGCAAGTTCTATCGATGTTGGTTGACTTTTGTTCTGGAACTGTGTTAGTCATGTTCACTCTGTGAAAGACTGGTTTTACAAAAACATGCTATTATTTTGGAAATACTTCGCTTTAAGTTATTTGTAGATAAATTTTTGAATACTGATGTTATGTGACATCTAAATGTTTAGATAATCCAGGCTGTTGTTATTGTTTGTTGTAGGTTATCCAGGCTGTTGTTATTGTTTGTTGTAGATTATCCAGGCTGTTGTTATTGTTTGTTGTAGGTTATCCACGTTGTTGTTATTGTTTGTCGTACATTATCCAGGTTGTAGTTATTGTTTGTTGTAGATTATCAAGTTTGTTGTTATTGTTTGTTATAGGTTATCCAGGCTGTTGTTATTGTTTGTTGTAGATTATCCAGGCTGTTGTTATTGTTTGTTGTAGGTTATCCACGTTGTTGTTACTGTTTGTCGTACATTATCCAGGTTGTAGTTATTGTTTGTCGTACATTATCCAGGTTGTTGTTATTGTTTGTCGTACATTATCAAGTTTGTTGTTATTGTTTGTTGTAGGTTATCCAGGCTGTTGTTATTGTTTGTCGTAGGTTATCCAGGCTGTTGTTATTGTTTGTTGTAGATTATCCAGGCTGTTGTTATTGTTTGTTGTAGGTTATCCAGGCTGTTGTTATTGTTTGTTGTAGGTTATCCAGGCTGTTGTTATTGTTTGTCGTAGATTATCCAGGTTGTTATTATGGTTTGTCGTAGATTATCCAGGTTGTTGTTATTGTTTGTCGTACATTATCAAGTTTGTTGTTATTGTTTGTCGTAGGTTATCCAGGCTGTTGTTATTGTTTGTTGTAGATAATCCAGGCCGTTGTTATTGTTTGTTGCAGGTTATCCAGGCTGTTGTTATTGTTTGTTGTAGGTTAATCCAGGCTGTTGTTATTGTTTGTTGTAGATTATCCAGGCTGTTGTTATTGTTTGTTGTAGGTTATCCACGTTGTTGTTATTGTTTGTCGTACATTATCCAGGTTGTAGTTATTGTTTGTTGTAGATTATCAAGTTTGTTGTTATTGTTTGTTGTAGGTTATCCAGGTTGTTGTTATTGTTTGTCGTACATTATCCAGGCTGTTGTTATTGTTTGTCGTAGATTATCCAGGTTGTTGTTATTGTTTGTCGTAGATTATCCAGGTTGTTGTTATTGTTTGTCGTAGATTATCCAGGTTGTTGTTATTGTTTGTCGTACATTATCAAGTTTGTTGTTATTGTTTGTCGTAGGTTATCCAGACTGTTGTTATTGTTTGTCGTAGGTTATCCAGGCTATTGTTATTGTTTGTCGTAAATTATCCCGGCTGTTGTTATTGTTTGTCGTACATTATCCAGGTTGTTGTTATTGTTTGTCGTAGATTATTAAGTTTGCTGTTATTGTTTGTCGTAAATTATCCAGGCTGTTGTTATTGTTTGTCGTACATTATCCAGGTTGTTGTTATTGTTTGTCGTACATTATCCAGGTTGTTGTTATTGTTTGTCGTAGATTATTAAGTTTGTTGTTATTGTTTGTCGTACATTATCCAGGTTGTTGTACCTTCATATTATATTTTGACCAATCAATGTAGGATACAAAATAAACAGTCTGTTACTTTTAAAATCAAGAAACAATGAAACATTTTAAATTTATCCAAATAATTTATCGTTTAATTAATTTTCAGATTATCTATCCATTTGATCACATGTGAATCGTTTCAGTGAAAAGACGGCTTTAACTGGTTGATTGCTTTCGATGGTAAAGCCAATAAGAGTCGAGAATTAATGAGACGTAGAACAGCCAAGCATACTAAGAGAATGTAATATTCCTGTCCGGACTCTCTACTTATCCGAGACTTGCCTAAACAACAAGGATTTAAAACTTAACAACAGTCATGCGAACATCGAGTGAGGTGAGTGTTATGCAGGTATGAATGCTCCATCTGGATTTTGTTTTCTTATATCTTGATTATATTATATTAAAAAGTTTTTACAATATGAGAAATTAGTTTTCCTATCCAGTATTTTCTTTCGTTATTATAGAAGGTCCAATTTCTAAAATACTGACGGAAACTTTTCCACAGCATAATATCCGTTAGTTCCAGTAACAGGTGAATGTCTTCGTGTAACAAGTTTTAATTGTATGGTAATCCATACAATTAGGGTTGAATGACGTCGCCTTATATGTTTATTAAATTATTGTTATCGTACAAAGTTCCTTGTAAAAATTGAATATCTAATCTAGACTTCTTTCGAAATAAAATCACCTGTTCCGAATAAAAGAGAAAAAAAAAGTGAGAGAGAATTACATCAGAGCTATAGGTTCGTGTAGGTTTTGAGATGTTGGAAACGGCAATTAAGAGTTAAAATGAAAATGTTATTGTAATACCAAGGCCACTAGAACTTGGAAGCTGAACTCATGATTCAAAACAGTTAATGAACACTTTAACCAACAGTAACATTAGTAGAATCATGAACCATGTCATTGAGTGAGTTCAGCTGTTGGGGGAAAAACAGTTAATGAACACTTTAACCAACAGTAACATTAGTATAATCATGAACTATGTCATTGGTTGAGTTCAGCTGCCAGTGTAGAAAGCAGTTAATGAACACTTTAACCAACAGTAACATTAGTATAATCATGAACCATGTCCTTTGGTGAGTCCACCTGCCAATGTAGAAAAGAGTTAATGAACACTTTAACCAACAGTAACATTAGTAGTATATTGTCAACTGAACTTTCCAATGGCGTGGTTCATGATTCTATTAATGTTACTGTTGGTTATAGTGCTCACTAAGTGTTTTCTACATTGGCAGCTGGACTCACCAAAGGACATGGTTCATGATTCTACTAATGTTAATGTTGGTTAAAGTGTTCATTAACTGTTTTCTACATTGGCAGCTGAACTCAAAGGCGTGGTTCATGATTCTATTAATGTTACTCTTGGTTAAAGTGTTCATTAACTGTTTTCTACATTGGCAGCTGAACTCACCAAAGGTGTGGTTCATGATCCCGCTAGTGTTACTGTTGGTTAAAGGGTTTATTAATTGCCTTCTATATTGACAGGTGAACTCGCCAGAGGGCGAGTTTCATAATTCTGATAATATTACTCTTGGTAAAATGATTCGTTAATTGTCTTCTCTATTGACATTTGAACTCACCAGAGGGCGTGTTTGGTGATTCTGCTAATGTTGAATAGAGATCATTATCACAAATTCCGTTAACCATAGAATTCACCAGAAAGCGAGTACTTCGATTCTGCAACGTTACTATGGGTAGAAATGTTCATTAACTGTTTTCTGCATTGAGAGCTAAACTCACCAGAGGGCGTGTTTGGTGATTCTGCTAATGTTGAATAGAGATCATTATCACAAATTCCGTTAACCATAGAATTCACTAGAAAGCGAGTACTTCGATTCTGCAACGTTACTATTGGTAGAAATGTTCATTAACTGTTTTCTGCATTGAGAGCTAAATTCACCAGAGGGCGGTTGCATCACTCTACATGGGGGAAAGGATTTTGGATGAGTAACGTTTACATGGAGTGTTGAGGTTTATTCAAGGTTTATTATACGTAAAATATTGTCTAATGTGTTTGTTACTGAATTTACTACACACAAAAAATTACAATCCAGCAAAATGTCTGCGTTTGTTCACCTTCTAATTAGAATTATAAGAATAAAATTTTTGTACTTTTATTAAACTTGGTGAACATGAAATAGAATAAATATGCTTTGATGTGTTCGTAAGCATTGGACTTTTTTGAAATTATCCCTTATCAAATTTCTGTGTAACATTATCTTATAACAAATATTACTTGTGTTAGTTGATATCCTCTCTGATTTTCTTGACTGGAAAAAAAAATATGTTTTTCGTTTCAGAATGTTCCAGTAGATGAAGGGAGGAAGGAGCCTTTTCGTCTTAAAAAAAAATGGAAAATTGTTTTAATAACGTTAAACTTGCTTGTTCTTCTTGCTGTTGTTGTCATAGTTACAGTCTGGTGTTCTAACTGTAAGTAGAGCTCTGCAGTCATTAATTTTATTCAATTATTTTTGTAACTTTAGTAAAAATCAGTCACCCACCCCCACTTTTAAAAGACAGAACGATAATATGAAACAAGATTAATCTTATTTCTCAAACTTCACGTCAAAACGCAATTTTTTGAGAGTTTTTACTTACGTACCAGCTCTGCTTTTTAAATATAAATTTATAAAACGATAAACTTTGCCAGCAGATTAAGTAACAAAGCAAAACCTCCTGAATTATTACTTTTTAAATTCTCAATTTGGTTATTGGAAAAATAAGGATAAAGTGGCTGCATTACATAAGGTGATTAATAAATTAATATTATAAAGAGGTTGAACCACATAAGATGATTATTAAATTAATATCATAAAGAGGTTGAACTACATAAGGTGATTATTAAATTAATATTATAAAGAGGTTCAACTACATAAGGTGATTAATAAATTAATATCATAAAGAGGTTGAACTACATAAGGTGATTAATAAATTAATACTATAAAGAGGTTGAACTACATAAGGTGATTAATAAATTAATATGATAAAGAGGTTGAACCACATAAGGTGATTATTAAATTAATATTATAAATAGGTTGAACCACATAAGGTGATTAATAAATTAATATGATAATGAGGTTGAACTACATAAGGTGATTAGTAAGTTAATATGATAAAGAGGTTGAACCACATAACGTGATTATTAAATTAATATTATAAATAGGTTGAACCACATAAGGTGATTAGTAAGTTAATATTATAAAGAGGTTGAACCACATAAGGTGATTAACAAATTAATATGATAATGAGGTTGAACTACATAAGGTGATTAGTAAGTTAATATTATGAAGAAGTTGAACCACATAAGGTGATTAATAAATTAATATTATAAATAGGTTGAACCACATAAGGTGATTAATAAATTAATATGATAATGAGGTTGAATTAGATAAGGTGATTAGTAAGTTAATATTATAAAGAGGTTGAACTACATAAGTACAAAGCTACAGAATTTGTTATCTTTCCCTGCGCACATAATTGGCATCGAAACCCGGTTTCTAGAGTTATAAACCTTCAAAATGCCACTGGGTCATATTTATCAAACATTAAATAGGCTTAACAACGATATATGAAATTGGTAAAAATAAAGATATGAAAGAAAAGTTGAAGAGTTTAGGAATTCCTAAAATAGAAAGGGAAATGTTTAAAAAACGTTATTGTACAAATCACCAGACTTTATAATAATACTTAAAATAAAATAACCTCCCAGTGGTTCACCGGTCAGTCTGATGGCTTATACTGTTAAAATTTGGATTTCGATACCCGCGGTGGGCAGAGCTCATCTAGTCTGTTGTGTATCTTTGTGCTTAACAAAACAACTAAAATAAGATCGCTATTTAATGGTAAAAGTATATGTATTAAATTGGCGTTGAAAAAAGTATAACTTAGGCTGATGAGCCTTAAAATCTGTTTATAGCATATACATATACATGAATTTAAAATAATATAACATAACTACTTAAAATGTTATGAATATTTAACGTGTAAATTATTATACAGTAAATATTGTTAATATTTACTTAAAATCTCGCATATTCAGTATTTATTTATTTACATTTATTCATGATATTTAAATAAACTTAATAAAGTAAACCTTGTGGATCATAACGTGTGTTGTAAAAGTCTCTTAATTTTCAATCAATCAATTAATCAATTAATAGATGTTTTGAAATATTTGGTCAACAAATAGACCAATCAACACTACACTAATTAATACTATACAAATCAACACTACACTAATCAGCACTACATCAACCAATACTACACTAATTGATACTACATCAATCAATACTACATCAACCAATACTACACTAATTAATACTACACCAATCAGCACTACATCAACCAATACTACACTAATTAATACTACACCAATCAGCACTACATCAACCAATACTACACTAATTAATACTACACCAATCAGCACTACATCAA